CCCCGAAATATCCTCTTCAGCAAAACAATCTTTGATTCTGCCACAGTAAAAAGTGGCTGTGGATTATATAATGCACGGCAAAAGTCAAAGCATTACCCTATTCTCAGATTACATGCACATATTCTTACACCGTAACTCAACTTCACTATGTTTAAAAGTAAGCCACTCATTTCCTCGGAAGACCTGGGAGATGGGAATTCTTCCTAGCTTTTCTTCCTGAAGCGTTTTAATCCACTTTTAAGAAGATCAGAGGACAACCTTTGCCATAAACCTCTCTGAAGCTCTTCATTCCCTGCTCCCTCCCCAGACAACTATTCTATTTAATAAATAAGAAAATCAGAGCAAAACAAACTCTCAAACTCTTGCATTTCAGTGTCTCCTGGGTCACCTTTCCTGTAAAAGAAGCCATTTTAGTCTCCACCTGACTGCAGAATGAGATGAACTTAAAAAAAGTCCACACTGGATTTACTAAATGAGAATACTCCCGCCTCTTTTCCTCCCTTACCCAGAATAGTGTTTAACATGAACAGAGAGTAGAAAAATTTTATGTGAAACACTTTCTCATTTGATATTTTTTTCTATCTTGCTCTGGCTCTAATGAACATCCATCTAAAACTAAACCTGAATTATTCCAAACCAAGGAGACGTAAACATACATCACAGGTTGTTTGATATTCTGATTTCAAAAAAATCTCTCATGTATAATAACAAACACTAAAAATATTTTAAGCCATTTAATAACACTCCTTTATACAAACACAATTTGGTTTTTTTATATCCCTTCTGAGTATAAAAGATCCAAAGAGGGTATTTCTGCTGATCAGAACTTACTCCTTTTTCTGAAAGATTCAGTGTTGGCAAGTGCAAAGCTCTCGTGTGGGAAGATTTCCAGTCAACAGGCATTACGTTACCATAATTATCAGTCAAAGCATTCCAAATCCTGGAGAGAAGAATAAAGGAACAAAAATGCAGGCCTTAAAACAAGCAGCAAGTGATCAGCAGTAAATATATTTGTAATGATACTACACTTCTATCAACAACTATTTTTTCGTCTCTAAATATTCATCTACAAGTTACTGACAATATTTTTATAATGTTCTGAAGCTAAGAGAAAATGTTTTCTGATAAACATAATTTATTTCTCTTTTAAAACCAACAGTGGTGAAATAAAACAATGTGATGAAGAGAAAGCTTAATTACTAATTATATAATCATATTCGAAATCTTCTTTGGGAGTGTAAAGGAGTCCTATAAATTCCTTTCCTAGTATCGTTCCTGTTTGCCTTGCCTTTTGCACCTTAAAATCAGGAATTAGCAAAGGCCGAGTAGCAAATTCTGAGCCAAATCTTTTTCCTCTTTCTTTCCATTTATCACAGAATGACAAGCAAGCACAAGTTATACTAAAATTTTGTACGAATTTCATTTTATCCAGAAGCACTCTTGCTGCGCTCAGCCCACCACTCTCATCTACAGCTGTGTCTACAGTGGTCAACCTCTCTGGCTGCACTAGAGGCTTGAATACGCAGCCCTATTCTGGTATTCAAAGTTCAGACTTTGGAAGAGAGCAGCCCTGTTAGCAGGTCACCGCCTCACGCCAGGGAACAAACCCTGTTCCTGAGAGCTGTGCTGGGGATGTGTGTTCGGAGCGGTTGCCCAGCCAGGCTCAGAGCAGGTCAGAGGAATGGCTGAGCCAGACACAGCCTCACCACTGCACAACATGTCTCTGATTCACGGTTCTCCAAACTTAGCTCACTGTTTATACCATAGATTCCGAGCCTTACCGCTAAGAGAGGGTGATGTTCTTTTTTTTTTTTTTTTTCCTCTTGGTATAAGACAGACAATTTAGTTACCTCAAGGAGTAACTGCAGTATTTTTAATGAAGATGACTGAAATGTACTGTAAAATGACAAGTGTAAATACTTGTAAAACAGTGTTAAAAGCAGGAAGGCAGCATAGATCAGAAAGGCGCTGTTGCTCAGGGGAGAAAACAACTATCACAGTTGCAGCTGAGATTCTGTTCTCCGTCTGCTTTCCGCACTTTCCATGCTTAATTCCAAACACTGCAACGGTGTTTGCCATTCTGCAAAAAGCTGAACAAGCACCACCCTCAGCCACTCCGCGTTTCAGCACAGCTCCTCTTCCTTACCGCGGGGCTACGAGGCACTGGGACGCACACACACGCTTCCCCGGCAATGAGGGGCACAAAAGCCCAAAGGCC